AAGCTCTGCCTTGTCTCCAGGGTCACCGGGTTGGGGGCCTGTGAAGTTCCCACTTGCCCTCTGCCTCGCCTTCCCCTCGACCTACTACACACACCCACACGGGCTGTGGTCGTCTGACCCACTTCCTCTCTCGTTTATTCATAGGTCTTGGTGCCAGTGAAAGCTTGGAGGGAGGGGTGGTGGTGCCCAAGCAGACCACAGTGAGCGGTCGGTTTCGATGAGTCGTGAAGTCCACCGGCAGCGGGAGAAGCGGCTCCCGGCAGGCGGCGCAGCCCTGCCCCCTGCTGCCGCCGCAGTGAACTTCAGCACGGGTGCCCGTGGCCGGGCACGGAAGTCCTGCTGGTCTCCACAAGGGGCCATTTCTTTTGAAAAGTCGTTCTTGAGTTGAGCTCTCTGCAATCTCCTCTTACTGTGGATTGAACTGTGTCCTCTCAAAACTCATACGTTGAAGTCCTAACTCCCCGACACCACAGCATGTGACCTCGCTTGGAAATAGTCATTTCAGATGTCATCCGTTAAGAGGAGGATATACCGGAATAGAACGGGCCTGTGATCAGTGTGACTGGTCTCACAGAAAGGGGAAATTTGGACACAGACACACGCACAGGGAGAACGCTGCATGAACGTGGGGGCAGAGATGGGGTGATGCCTCTAGAAGACAGGGGATGCCAGAGCTTGCGCCAGGCACCAGGAGCTGGGAGAGGCACGGAACAGTTTCTCCCTCACAGCCTCAGCAGGAGCCAACCCTGCTGACACCTTGATCTCAGACTTCCAGCCTCCGGAACTGTTGCTGTTCAGGCCACGCAGTGCGTGGTACTTTGTTATGGCAGTTCTAGCAAACTGGCTATTTTGCCCTTTGAACTGAGTCTCTGAACAGTCCATGAAGTGATGCATTTAAAATTGTAGAAATGTTTTGGCCAAAAATTGGCAAAGCCTGCCTGGGCCCCGTCTTCATTGGCTCCCTCTTCCTCAGCAAAATTACCTCTCAACTTGTACTGACATGTGGCTGCTCAAAGTAGAGACTACTTCTCAGCCCTGGGTCTTTTGCCTAAATTCTGGCCCCTGGGCTACAAGCAGACATGATGTGCCCCCCCTGGGAAGTGTCCTCAAGGGGAGGGGCATTCTCTTTTTCCCTGGCTCCTTCCCACCCGCAGAGCACGACATGATGGCCGGACAGGGAGCTGGCCCCACGGAGGCACTGAGCAGACATAGCTTGCGATGCTCACCTGCCAGAGAACAGAGGCGGGTGCAGTCCCGGGCTCCACATTTTAGGAAGAACATTGACAAACTGTAGTACATCCAGGATTATAACAGTGCTTGGGGCTCACCCCCAGAGATTCTGATGTAACTGTGATTCCACCCCCTTGTGATGAGGGTGGGACAAGACTGCAGGAGCCTGGGGCTGGGAGGACTGCGGGCTACCGGGCCAGCCCTGGGGCGGCTACATTCACAAGGGAACATCAAGGTTAGTCTTGTTTAGGCCAAATTGTGAGTTGAGTTTCTGTCCCTCAAGGCTGAACATAATCCTAACTCACATCCACAGCAGAGTTTTAAGATATGATAAAATGCATTAACCATAAAAACACCCAAACAGGACTACTTTCAAACATCCACCCTACATTTTTAAGGTGTGGTTAGGCTCTTTAAAAATAGATGATAAAGTTAGGTCATTTATAAGTTCTATGTCTGAAAAAAATTTTTAAGTGCATTTGTGGACCAGAATCGACCAGCATGAGGTTATTAAAGCTACTGTGACAGTGTGTGGCCTGGGAGTTCCTTTGGAATGATGCTCTATCAAGTACCACTGAGGTTGTTAAAAAAACAAGCACATTTTCACTAAAAATCACTTCCATCCACAGGCTTTAGTTTAATTTTTTAGACACTTTCAAGCTTAATAATTAGAAATCAGAGCTCTCATATTTTATGAAGTATATTTTCGTTTTGGAAAGTATTTAAACTCCTTTCCTACCCTGCTCGGTTCAGAGACTTGTTATTTTGTAATTAAACATTTTTATAAAATACAACCTCAAGATGTCCCTAAGAAAACTGCCCTATCTTTTTGTATTAACTCGTATGTCGTGGTAGTGGTGCACATCCTGATGTTTTCAGGGAAGAAATTATATTTATGCTCCCAAAACCCAGACAAAGAGCACCATCAAACAATTCGCAATTAAATGATGGAGCTGGGGGTAGCGGAGGCATAAACCTCATGAAATTAACAAAGACGAATAAAAAGAAAGCCTAGGATCCATGTTCCAAAGTTAAGTCAACAGCCCTGGCAAGGAATCTAGCATGACAGCATTTCTGAGAAACTAACCTAAGTTTGAAGCCATGCTGCCAGAGGTGTCTGTAGAAATCAAAGCTAGAGGTCTGCATCCTTGCTCTGTCACTTCCTGTGTGACCTTGAGCAAGAAAATTACTTAATCCCTGATGCCATTTCCTGCCTATAAAACAGGGAGAGCCACATACCCACCGGGCTGTTGTAGAATTAGATGAGACCCTGCACAAAGCACGAAGCACCGTGTCTGGCACAGCAGGTGCTCGGTAACGGTGCTATTATTAGCTGATGCCAAGCCCAGCAGAAGCCAACAGCGGGACAAGATTGGTAACAAGTTAATGGCAGCTTATATTAGTAGTTCGCAGCTCAAGGGAGCTTGCTGCCTATTTTCTATCCTTTCGCTTGCATTAACATGCCCCCCACCCCCGAGCGATTCTGATGTAACTGGCCAGGGGTGGGAGTTTTCAAAACTTCCAGGTGTTGCTGTTTGGGAACCGCCGCACTGGACTATCTCAGGCACCCGTGAAGCCACATTACAAAGGGCAGCTGCTAACTTAGCTACTGACAAAAGACAGAACTGGATACTGAACGCGGGGGTGATTGCTGTTAAGTCATCTGGGGGCAACTGGGGAAATTTTAATATGGACTCAATTATTAGACAGTATGACCATTGTCTGTCAGTGTGCTAATGTCGCACAGTACATCCTTATTATAAAAAGCATGCTCATCCTTTACCAAGGACCCGCCAACATGGGCCGCGTTCACACCAAAACTGTGAAGGCGGCTCAGGTCATCGTTGAGAAATACTACACACGCCTGGGCAGCTACTTCCACACCAACAAGCCCATGTGTGAGATCGCCATTATTCCCAGCAAGAAACTGCGACAAGATAGCAGGTTGTGTCACACATCTGATGGAGTGGGTTCAGAGAGGCCCAGTGAGGCATCTCCATCAAGCTGCAGGAGGAGGAGAGAAAGGAGAGACAGTTACACGCCTGAGGTCTCAACCCTGGATCAGGAGATCACTGAAGTAGGTCCTGACACTAAGGAAATACTGAAGCTCTTGGACTTCTGCCAGTCTGTCCAAACTGCAGGTCACTCAGCTGACAGGATGAATTTCAAAACACCACGGGGAGCTGTTTGAATCTTTCTGCTGTGCTGTAATATCTTCAATAAACCTCGGACAGAAAAACAAAGCATGCTCAAGTGCTTAGGTGTGAAACGCTTTGCAACTTACTTTCAAATGGTCATGAAAAAGTGCATTAGTTTACTTGGGCCATCAGCACAAAACACCTTAGATTGAGTGATTTAAACAACAGAAATTTATTTCTCATAGTTCTGGAGGCCGAAAGTCCAAGATCAAGGTGCTGGCTTCTTCTGTTCCTGGTGACAGTTCTCTCTCTGGCTTACCTACAGCTGCCCTGTGTCCTCACATGTGGGAGGGAGGACAACCAAGCCTCTGGTCTCTTCTTATAAGGGCCCCAATCCCATCATGGGAGCTCCACCCACATGCTCTCATCTAAACTATTGCCTCCCAAAGGCCACATCTCCAACACCGTCACATTGGGGGTTAGAGGTCCAGCATACCAACTATAGGACACAGTCTAGTCCAGAACAAAGTGCGTACAGAGAGGAAGATAAAGCAAGTGAACAACCAGCAAAGGTAGGGGAAGGCACACAAGGTCTTAGTATCATTACTCTTTCCACTTCTCAACACGTATGAACATTTTCAAAATAAAAAGCTGGAAGATTTTTGAAGCTGCAGATGACATGAACCACAGGAAAAGCTGAGTCACATGAGCACCATCCTCAAGAACGCGAGGTGCTGTCCAACGGGAGCACTTTCTAGTGTCGTTCCAAGGACAGGGTGTGACCCAGCGGTAGACACTGAGGCCCATTTGGTCTCCAGGTAAAGAACTTCCTGAAACCAGAGCTGTCTGACCACGGAAGTGTTGCTCACAAGAACTCAGCTGCTTCTCAGCGTAACTGCTCATGCAGAGCCTGGATTCGGCAGGGGTGCTGAGCAGGGGCCCCCGCATTAGGATGGAGGCCAGAATCTCCAGCTTCCCAAACCTACGGTCACAGACACATGTGCAGCATAGCACACGACCTCACAGGCGGTCTGCCAGGAGAGAGGTCTTTCCAGTGACTATTTGGGAGCAACAGGGAGACGATCGTTGTAGTTTGGCTGTGCATTTGTGTTCACGTAGTGCTTCCCCTCTGGCAAAATCACAAATTCATGTGATGCTCCGGGTGTCTCTAATGTATCAATCACCTTGGAACAAATCTGCATTCCAGCAGGATGGCCTGTGTGACCCCACTTCCCACCAGGTCTCGCGCTGTGAGCTCTCCATCCTCCCTCCCCGGCCAGGGTCCTGATGTGTGCCCACCGTCCACACCCGGGCTCGAGTCCCCTCCCCCCATCACTCCCTCCCTAGTAATACTATCAGCAAAATCGTTTCCTCCGTCAATCCTTATTTTAAAGCAAAGGGTATGCGTCAGTAGTAGATCAAGACAAGGAAGTGGTAACAGGTCGTTTGTTTTCAGTTGCCAAACAGGTCACCAGGAAAGGGCTGACAGTCTAGACAAGGGGTGAGCTGTGTGTCAGTTACTGCCAAGAAAGACCAAGCTCCGCCGCTCCCACGTGCCAACTTCATGATCAGGAAGAAGTAAGTCCAGTAGGCAAGATTTCCCTGCCAACATCTGTCCAAAGACACACTCTCTGGTACCAATCTTTATGTATTTATTCACACATTTGATAAAAATGTCACAGTCAGGAGTTAAATCATTACAATGACACGAGTAACTGTACAGACCAACCCCAAGCGCAGAGTGGAAGTGCCACACCCAGCTCCGCAGCACCCATGTGCTCCCACCACACCCACCCATGTCCCAACCACCACATGCGCTAAATTCACACCCAACCCAGCGGTTCTGCTCTGGCTGCGTCACGTCCCAGGGATGAGAAGAGAAAAGAAGCTGGGACTGCCTGACGCACCTCTGCTCCGCCAACGACGCAGAGAAGGCAAGACATGAAACACCGGGGTAGGCATTTCCTTGGCACAAAACTTAGGCAACAAAAAGGTCAAGGGGCTTAAAGTTAGTCTCAGGTTTAGCTCCTCTTTTCAACAACACAAAAGGGTAGCGGGGGTTGGGGGGAGAACCTAGTCACTCAGCTAGACCAGACCAATCCCACCTGATTGTGACTGTATCCAAACTGCGCCGTCTGCTTTTATTTCAGCTCGGAAGAGGAAAACCTCTTCAGAGGAACGAGAGAGGGACACATAAACCACATCCTCCTTATATTAGCATTTGGGACAAGATTCCATCTATTCGTTCACACAGCTTGTCTACAGCTTTGAGAGGGAGCCGCCCAACCCCCATCTCTCTGCCTGTAGCCCCCCCAACATGGACAAGTCCTTGGCATCCAATCAAACCTGAAGTGTGAAAAATATGCCTGAATCAAAAAGGTGTTCTCTGTACACCTGGACTATGGGAAAATCTATTCAACTCCCCAATTCCCACTTTTTGACACAAAGGTTAAAAAAAAATGCTAAAGTGTTATGGTTTGAGCATTTCCACTGACCCTGTCAGAAACACTGACAATACAGAGCGATGTCTAAAAGGATCAGCTTCCCAGTGTTCTTGGTAAATGGGCTACAGAAGGAGGCAACTACGAAAGTTAATACAGACCGTGAATACAGACGAACTGGCCAACTCCACGGAAACTGCTTCGGGTAGGGTCAGTCAGTGGGGTGTGAATGGGAGGTGAAGAGACATTTCTTGGTACAAACTCTGCCCCTAAAGGTAGGAGCAAGGTGAGGACAAGGCACTTACACTGCCAAGCAACAGTTCACACCCCTCAACACCAAGACTGTGACCAAGAGCGCTCCCCATGACCCTCACTGGAGACTCAACCACCCAGTCGGGCCAGCTGGACGTTCAGAACCAAAGGAAACCCAAAGTGCTGCAGAACCGAGGCTGAGAATGGAATGTGGGTGGAGGAAACCACTCAGAGGAAGCAATAGATGTCGTCCCCTCTGGCCTGAGATGAGACGTTGGTTCCAGATTAGCTCAGTGAAACATTGAATCTCAAAATGCTCGGCCTGAGAACTGTCTGACAATGCCTCCACGGATGCCTCCTTCTCTGTTTTGATAAAGAGCAGAAGGGCTCTGAATGAGACTGGACACCATTGCTGAATTATCTTGCACTGGTGGTTACAGCAGACACCTCTAACACATGTCCCGTTCCGCAGTGGAGCGATAAGAAACCGAGGCAGGGCTGGAAGCAGCCTGTCCCTCTTCTCCTGAAGTCCTTCACGCATACTCGATCCGGGCAGGGCCGCAGCTGCCCTCGCTCTTCCGCTCGGAAGATGGGGCGGTGGCCTTGGCTTCACTACCCACTTCCAGAGGCTTAGACGAGATGTAGTCCTTAACTTTGATCTCCATGTTCTTGGCTTTCAGCGTGGCCATGTGCAGCTTCTCCAGGAAATCTGGCATGCCTGTTGGGAGAGGGAAATCTAGACAGATGGACATACAACCCCGCAGTAGTCTTAAAACCAGAAGGGCCTCTTTCTTTCATGGTAGGGAGCCAATGCCTCCTTACAGAGATCGCAGCCTGACTGACATGACAACCAAAGCATACAGGAGTGAAAACAACCCATAACCCCTGAGACCCTGTGAAAAGGGGTGCTGATCAGGTCACACAAATCCCCAAAGGCTCTCTTTCAGGTGATTAAAAAAATACCATGTATCAGTGGCACAGCCTAAGTATCTGCCAACCTTGTTTAGGGAAATGTCAAACAGAAACACCCAATCTCTCCCTCATCATTCTCCCCTGAGGTGTAAGAAGTGGCCTATAGAGGACCAGAAGGAAGAAAACTACATGAGGGTGCTTTTAAGGCAAGAGATTAAAAGGGAAAGGTGCAGTCACAGCAGTGACATGCAGCCTTTGTCAAGCAAGAAGGGTGGTGGCCCCTCTCTCCAGGTGACTGTCCTGTAATCACATTTTCTATGCTAGATTTTATGGCTTCCAACACTAAGCAGCAAATTTTAAAATACATTAATGTGCACAGTCCATATTTAAGGCATTAAGCTGATGTTCTTCTTATAACTCTCCTCTGGGCCTAAGTTCCTTTTTGGGACTCACTCCAAATTGCAGTTGGAAGCTTTAATAACTTCAAAACAATATTCAAGAATGAACTTGAAAGGGCTTTAGTGAGATGAGCATGAATCTCCTTGTTGCCATTATGAAGCTAGAGAAAAAAACACTCAGCCCAGGTTCCAGGCCCTCTTTACAAGTGCCCACTCACCACTGGAAACCATCCAACTAACGCAGTAGCGAGGAAATACAGTCTGGGGATTGTCACTGTATGTCAACAAGTAGTCAAAGCCATTCTGGAAAAGAAAAACCACAAAGATGAATTACCCCCCACATAACACACAACAACCAAGATCAGATTCTGGGGTGGAAAGTGGCATTTTTTTCACCCTGTGCAAAAAATTCTGAGTTATTAACACCAAAGACCTGAGAGGTTATGATCTTGTGAGGCTGCCCCAGGCTGGTGTCTGGGAACCTGGCTCCCGACGGCTCCCAGTCGACAGTTAAATGCTAAAGGGTGGCTCCCTGGGTCTCATCTGTGCAAACAGTGCGCTTGATGCTGAGCATCTGCTTTCCTCCTGGGGCTGGTATTCTAGGACAAGCTAGGCAGAGGGCGCCTATGTGAGCAGCCCCCAGTAAGAATCTCGGGTGCTGAATCTCTAATTGGCTTCCTTGGGCAAGAAAAAAAAAAATCACACAGATGTTGCTGTGTCTTTGTTGCTGGGGGAGGACGTGCCCTGTGAGCCCTCACGGAGGGAGCACATGAGGAAGCCTGCAGTGGATTCTTCCAGATTCTGCCTGGGTCCTTCTCCTTTTGATCCAGCTGTGCATCCTTCCTGCGTCACTGTGATAAATCTCAGCCATGAGAGTAACTGCAAGCTGGGTCCTTCTAGGGAATCTTCGAACGTGAACGTGGGGGCATCCTGAGGACCCTATGCTTACCCGCAGTGTTTAAACATCTTAATCATATCAAAATGATATGAACTCTACTACCACTTCTACTAATAGCAAACACATACAGCACTTAACCACGTGCCAGGAACTGCTTCAGCTGCTCACAATCCTATTAGGTAGGTACTGTTATCCCCCATTTTATAGATGAGGAAACTGAGCACAAAGAGGCTAAGTGACTTCGCCCAGGGCAGCCCACATACTCAACAAGAGCCAGGATGAACCCAGAATTCTGACCACAAGGCCCAGGCACCCACTCTCTGGCTCAGTCCACTCATTGCCTGGTACAGTGAGGATAAGGATTAAAGAGATTTTAGGTATCCTGAGCCTAGGAGAGGTACGAGCCAAAGGGGGTAAGAGACAGCCACTTCCAAGTCTGCACTGCTTAAAGCAGCCTGGCCACAACTGTCGGTGGCAGCACTATGACTTTAACCTCTCATGTCTTCACACCAAAATCCATCTTCTTTATTTCCTGGGTGAAGTGTTTTAACCTTTTATTCATTTACTCAACATGTATCTGAATGTCTGCTCTGTGTCTGGCACTGTGCTAGGTGCCACAGAGGAAATAAAAATGCGCCAGTCCTTGCCCTCAGGAGCTTCCAACTAACAGGTTAAACAGGTGCCGTAACAGAGACACAGACTGAATACCACGGAGGTAAAGAGGAAGGAGAGGTGAAGCCCGCGTGATGGTAACAGTAACAGCACCCACCACAGAGGCTGGCTACTAGACTGAATGAGTTAGTACACGCAGACTAAATTATTCTTCCCATAAAACACTAGTCAAAAGACCAGGGTTCTCATCCACTACTGCTTATATCGAAAACAATGGTTACCTACTGGAAGGAAGGAACTGGGTAGAAGGAACAGGGATGTAAGCTAAATTACTCTGTTTCTTTTATATATTTGACTTTGGAAACACACATTTTTCATTATTACTTTTTAAATTTTTATTTATTTTTTATTTTTAAAGTGGTGATTTCTTTACACACACACACACACAAAATAGAGGTACTGGGGATTAAGCCCAGGATCTCGTGCATGCTAAGCAGGCACTCTACCATTGAGCTACACCCTCCCACCTTTCTGCATTATTTAATAGAAGAAACTTAAATGTAATAAGCAGTATCTAAAAAAACTAGCAAACAAGGAACCTAAGCATGACCTGAGTTGGTAGGAAAAACCACAAAGAGAGGACCTAATTCGAGTGACTTTAAAACTCAGTATTTTGCACACAGTGTATACATATCCTAAGGACAAAATAGAGGTAACTCTCTGCGGTCCTGAATTTGAATTAAAAGTACTGGTGTGCACTTAGGATGCACCTTTCAAACAGACAACCCTGATTACTCAGTTCTATCTTCTGAAAAGGCCTAAAAACAATGAGCAAGCCCCGAGCTATGAGAACTCCTAGAGGCCAAACTGTGGTAGTTAAATGCCATGTCCTTAAAGGGCATAAGGGCCCCTAGAAGAAATGCTAATTTCCAGGTTAACAGCTAAAACTATTCAAGATGAACCTGGAATACCTTACAGTAACAGAAAACAGGAGAGTTCCTGAGGTCAAGTCAAAAGGATTGCAGCCAGTAACAAGAAGTTCCTAACAGCTGAAAGTGTGACAATTTGAGCATCGACAAGAATAACTGTAATGGATTAAGACCAATCTAGTATGTTTAAATTTGTGCGTTTATAAAGGCATTTCTTTAAAAAACAAAAACAAAAAACCGAAACTTTACCTTTGAAGAATCGCTACAGAGAAATAATTCATTATTTAAAAAACTAGTAAATGGGGGGAGGGTATAGAGCTCAAAAAACTAGTAAATGGGGGGAGGGTAGAGCGCATGCTTAGCATGCATGAGGTCCTGGGTTCAATCCTCAGTATTTCTAAGAATAAATAAGTAAACCTAATTACTACCCCCACCCTCCCCCAAAAAACTTAGTAATGAAGGAAACAAATCAAGCATTCCTCTTACTTCCCTTCCCTGCGAACTACAGGAAACCAAACAGTTTATGAGGAAATTTTCACCTAAAGTATTTCACCTAATAAATGGAAATAAGTGAAGAAAGAATTAAGAAATTACAAAATTAGCATTTTGTAACCTCAAATGAAATAGAGCTGAGCAATAATCATCATTTTCAAATTCACAAAAAAAGGGGGAAATCAGACATTGTTTGTCTTCTAATAACAACCTCGAAACAAACAACCTGAATCTGTTCAAGCCTCGAGATCGAAGTACCCGCATCCAGGAAACACAGGGGACAGAGACATGTTAAATGACACTATGGACACTATAGGGATACAACCAGCAAGATCCAAATAAAGAACTTGCCTCTTCAATAAATATAACCGCAAAAAAAAAAAAAAAAAAAAAGGAGGGAACTCAAGAAATAGATACAAAGCTACAGACAGTATGAACATGTTTCAGTGTCTGGATCTTATCTGGATCCTGATGCAAATAAACCAACTACAAAAAAATTCACGGACGATCAAGAAAGTTTGAATACTATATATATCTGATTTTAGAGAATTACAATATTGAGATTATGTTTTCAATAATCTCTTTTCTTTCTGAGATAAATACTGAAATATCTATGGAAGAACTCATGTAAGAGTTCTTCTAGAGCACAACAAGAATCTGCTTCCAAATAATCAGGGAGTGGGAAAGGGAACGGGGGAGGGAACCGACAAAGCAAGTCTGGCCATGGCTCGGTCCCTGTCGGGAAGAACACAGACGGTTCACTACACTATCCTACTTCTTGACCTTCTGTATACATTTCAAATTTTCCCAATAAATAGTAAAACAAACCAAACACCATACCTTGGCCCAAGGATCTACCTTCCATCTGGCAAATCCCAACTCAGCTGTCTGGTTTTCAAGTCCCTCTGCACATGGTGACTGTCACTTTTCACCCCTCCCTAACCTCTACATTCCTTTCTGAACAGTGAGTCTCTGAACATCCCAGGCTCATTTCTGCCTTTGTCTCTGGTGGAATCATGTCATCTGCCTCCAGTGCACTTCCTGCTCTCCTCCACCCACAGTCTGCCTTTTCACAAGAACCAACTTTTCAAAAGAACTAACCTTTTGCATAAGAACTTGCCACAATATACTAAAAGAATTATACAGATTAATCCATATTGTTCCCCCAACCCCAACTGAAATTATTTCTTGGATGCAACACACTCTGCCAGGTGCAGAACTCTGCCTGAGCTGTCTCATGGTCATGGTATCTAAAGCAGTAATGCGGGAACTTTTTTTTTCCCCAAATAGGAAATACATGGCCAAGGTTCAAATCTCAAAAGCAACATAAAGTGAAAGAGTGAGGTGCAATCCTGACTCCCACACCATCCCCACCCTGACCCAGGCTCTCCTGTCTAAAGGTAGCTAGCCACCAACAGCAGACTTCTTGTCCAGCTACTAAAGCAAGGACTTTACAACATTTTTAACTATTTTTACAACACACTGTGAATAATCCTTTTTACACTGCAATCTAGTTCTCTCTCTCATACACACACACCCATACATATTTCTGTAACCAAACGTTTCATGAAATATGCTTACACTCAGTTTCTATTCTATTAATTCCTTTTCTTTTTAAGTACTAAATTAATTTTGTTTTCCACTATTGGGTAGCAGTCCGTGGTTTGAAAAATACTGCTTTAAAAATGATGCAGAAGTAACACACAGATCTCCCAGTAAAACAAGAGTGAAACACCACACCGACTGAGGCGAACCACCATTCCCGTCACACCAGAAGTCCCACTTCAGGTGGAGAAACGAAACAACTTGCCGAGAACAAAACCATGCTAAAAGAACACAGTCATATAGCTCTAAAACAAAGCCATTATAAAGTGAAACAGAACTAAAACCAGCAACCACAATAATTAATATGTACACTCAACAGAGATTTGGCTAAAAAAATAAAAAATAAAACACTGCACTAAGTTGAAGAAAATACTTTTCTCAAAGAAAGGTCACAAAATTCTAAAGAAGGCAGAGAGCATGAATCTAGCTCTCTCATTTTACAGACAAGGAAACAGAGTCCAGAAAGGCAGCAGGTGTTCTGCCCACTGTGGTGAAATTTTGATGGGAAAGGTGCTCGCCCAAGAACGCTGTCACTGACGAGTCAGGGGCCATCATCTCCGAGCTGTCCCGCAGTAACGGGAGCCAATGGCCGCCACTGCTTTGTCTTGGGGGCTCTCCAGGTACACTGTTCTACAGCAGGGGTCCTCAAGGGTGGTCCCCAGACCAGCAGCATCAGCCTCACCTGGGAACTTCTTAAAAAGTGCAAATTCTCAGCCACAGCCCAGTACTGCTGTAACAAGCTCCAGGGGATTCTGACACGTGCCACGTTCAAGAACCACTGGGCACAGCAAGCCAAGCTCCCCGGGTTCAGATAAAAGGCACTCCTTGAGAAAATCCCAAAGCCACTCCACATCACCTCCTGGATGGTGTAGAACTCACCTCATCAAATGACTTGTGGGGACGGATAACCATCTGGGACTCGTATGATCTGACCCTGACAAATTCTGGAGACTCTGGCACACTGGGGTGCTCTACGGCACTAGGAAGAGAAAAGTTAAGGAAACTCATAGCAATTTACTGTCTACAAAGAAAATAGCACAGGAGCTAAAGTTAAGAGGAAAATCTAAAAGGCTGCCTCTAATCTTAAAATAAAACAGAAGTCACTAAGATGAATGAATCTAAAGTAAGTTCTAAAAACAAAGTGAGTTAACTTGGTGATTCCTGGCTCGCTAGGCTTTGTGTTGAAGAAGAGAGCATTTCTTTTTTTAATTATCAACAGTAAGGAACTAAATTCGTTAGTTTACTGAAAAGCTGACATCCCCTCAGTCCTCACAGCCCACTCACGTTCTAGCTGGGACGCACGGGGCCCTGGCTTCACCTCTAAGGCACTGCGGACAAGCACACTCCCACCACAGACACCCATGAACGAAGACACAGCTAAGGGGACTGAGCAGGAGCCACAGGTCACCATACATACCGCGACACCAACACCATCACGTTGTTCTCCTGATCCACGCTGTACCGCCGAACATAAACATAATCCCGTGAGTACATTGGATACTGAAGGAAAGGAGGGGCAGGATTAGTGCGCTGCCTCACATGGACATGATAAAAGTAAAACCAGAAGAGAAAATACTCACAGGAAAATGGGTTACCCAGTGAAGAACCTCAGATCCACTAACCACATCCCTCTCGATCACTTCCAGCTTGATCACCAGGGCATCCCACTTTTTTCTATACTCTGTATCCAGCTGCGGGAAGAGAAAAGACCATGAGAGCCCAAGAGATCCAAAACAGAGCTGCGGGAGATGTCTCCAGATGCCTGGACCTCTGACCCAAGGACCTTCTTCTGAAAACAGTGATCTGACCCAAAAGGCAGTGCCAGAGTGTCAAAAGACATGGCTGTGTTCACTACATAAGAGTCTTTTAAAATCCCTTCTTGTAGGCCAATACCATTACCTAGAAAGTGAATCTTAACAAGAAAAAGCCAAATCAAAGAAAGTGTAAGAAAAAAATATCGCAATAGATATGTCTGGGGAAAATACAGCAGACAGTGAAACAGGTTAAGGGTAAAATGATTCTAGTAAGTCATCAACAGACAGAAAGTCCAAAAATACGAGCAGACACCTCACACAAATGCAAGCAGCATATTTTTAAAAATTTCTAGCATCACTAGTAACTAAGGAATTTCAAAATACAACACAGATCATAAACATCCAAACCAACAAAAATTAAATACAGACTGACAAAATTCAGTGCTTAGGGGAAAGCATGCTCTTGTATATTCACAGTGGGTGTTATAATCATCAAACTAGCTACTGCAAGTCCAGTAAAACATGAAAGATCCAGGAAGGGAAAAAAATTTTTTTATAGAACCCTGGGTAATCCCACCTCCCCTTTTCATACATTTCCCTCCAAGGAGGAAAGCAGTCTTTGAACAGACACCCTTCATCTTTACTAAATAAACATCGTCACTGTGGACTAGTTTCAGACTACTAAATCCTGACTGGATCCGCACAGAAGGGAAAAATGCCATAAAAGACATCATTGGGCCAACAGATAAATCCGGAACACAAAGATTCTGTAAATACTGCATCAGTGGTACATTTACTGGCTAATAATGGTACCATGGCTAGTTAAGCGAATACATCTAGTTTTTAAAATATACATATCAAAGGATTTTGGAATAAAGGGTATATAACCTACCCTCAAATTGTTTAGAAAAAAAACCATAAAGCCTTATAAGATAAATTAAAGCACTCAAATCCATCCCTCTATTTGATCTTCCCAACAGCCCTGTAAGGGATCAAATCAGCCTTATCCCCACTGGACAAACAAAGAAATCCTAAGTCCAACGTTTACCCAGATGCTATTGGACATGAGATGAGGGTTCAGAGACAGATGGACGTACTGAAGCCAGTGTCCTCTGAGTCAGAGAAATGACTCATGCAGACAATGGCAAGTAGATTTCTAGGCTCAGCAGCTCCAAGACTGGGGAGAAAAATTTACTCACCTGAACATTGAAGAACTGCCGGGGTGTCACATCCGTGTAGGTTCCAAAAACTAGAACGACAGGAAAGAATACGGATGTTTGCCACGGTCTCATCACTCACCTCACTGTCACTTAACTGCATCTCAATTACAGAGCACTGGACAGATCTTAGAGGCAGATTCGGGAACGAGAAGTCACATTGGGGCAGCAAAGTTAGACAATCTATAGCAAAGTATAGCAAAGACATGGAGACGCTCGTCATCTGGGAGAGGAAAAACAACAAACAGCAAACAGGGCAAATTTCCTGAGGAACAACCAGAATAGAAGCGTTTGGAGAGCAGGAGGAACACGGCGCTGTGCACCCGCCGACCGCGGAGCACACCCCCAGGCAGCCAGGCTGGGCTCACCTCTGTACTGGTAAAGGTGGGTGCCTGCAATGGGCCGCCGCCACAGCTTGAAGTGTTTCTTGTCCATCACCATTTCCCATGGTTGCTCTTTGCCTCCTGAATCCTCATGCCCTTGGGTTTGGGATTTTGGTTCGGGAGGGGGGACGTTCAACTCCAGAGCTCTGAAACAAACCTGACATTTCCTCCAACCGTTTCATCTCATCAATGGATCTGGAAAGGAATAAAACAGGCACAGTGCATAGTCAGTCCTGTGAAATGAAATGTCCACACAAACAAGAGTACAGAACAGTGTGGGTTTAAAGCAGTATAAAGTGTAGTGAATAAAAATATGAGTCTGAATCCTAGTCCAACATTCATCAACTAGAGTGTTACATTACTTAACCAATCCTTATTTCTTAATCTGTAAAATGGGGATAATAATGGTACCTACTCCAAAGGTTGACTATAAAAATTAAATAAATTTACATGTAAAGTGCTTAGTACCTGGCATACAATTAGCCTTCAAATGTTAAATAATCATTATGATTTATAATTATGAAGGTCATCTGATGTTTTGCCCATTTTTATTGC